TATATATTATTTTGTTCGCTGAAGGGTACTATATATTATTATAGGGAAGCGACTCATTTTCTCATAGCTCCGAGGTATACAAGTTTAAACCCTCTCCGCCTCCACTCGCAGCAGCACCACATCGCCGCGCTGACACGACGTTCGCAATAACAACCACAAATACCGCCGGCACCACCATCACCGCCACCCACTAAACTAGCGAGCGCCGGTCAATAAATTCCCCTGGCCATCCCGGCGGTTCTCGCGTCCGCCGCGATGTCTGTCAAGTTGACACGAGGAAGACTACACAAAAGGATACACGAGGGAACCGTAGTAACATGCGAAACGATATAGCGAACGAGCGCAATATCAACACACGCAATAATAATATCGATCGGTCGCGCGACTATGGAGGTTTTCCGGTGACATATACACACACACATAGACGCTATATCACAATCGGCTCGTTATATTTTTTTTATCTTATCTAAAACTTCTAAAGTATTTTAGAAATTCTTTATCTTCAGAAATTCGATTGCGCGACACAGTATCTACTTGTGTTTCTGTTTTCCTTAAAAAACACCCTATACTAACAGAAAATTTTTAACGTTGCCAGGCCGCAGCGAGAATAGGGGCATGAGGAGCACAGCGTTCACCATCACGATGCCGTAATAGACCAGGAACTTGAAGTAATAGCGGAAGTTGCGGCTGGTCTCGTAGAGGAACGGCAGCACGAGGATGAAGCCGACGAGGATCACCTCGAAGCATGACGGGGCCATCTTTCACAGGGGCGAGAAAACGAACAGAGGGATGAAATTTGTGTGTCGATAGATGTAAAAAAAACGTCGAGTTTATCACGCGAGCGTTTTATCTCTCTCGTTTCTCCCTTTTCTTCCCTCAAAAACACTCTATACTCTCGCGACTCTTCTTCCGAGCGCTCCCTCGCCCGACCTTGCGGGGCTTCAGTTAACGCGATGCCACCCGGCGGGATTCCCGACCTCACCACTCGAGCTAAGCAACGCAACGCGCTGCTGCGCAGACGGACACTGCCATATCGAGGAGCGGCAGTGAGATTTTAAATGTCGCTGCTTGTAGGGGAGGGAAAGAGAGAGAGAGAGGGAGGGAGAGAGAGAGACCCTCGAACACAATAATTCTACTTTTGCTCCCTCCTACGCTATAGCTGATCCCCTCGGCTAATCCGCGCGTATGAGATCTCAACTTTGTTGGTTTTATAGCGTTTTCGAGTGAAGCAAAGTTTGATTGTCCTGAGAGCGATTAAATTCAATTTTCCGTGGACATATGTTCGACTGAAAATAAGTTTTGAATTTGATTAATATAAATAATATCCCTAATAACCCAAGACGGTGTTTATGACGTACGTCATTAATCGGTTTCAGAGCGATTAAATTTACTTCACTCGAAAACGTTATTAGATACATTCTCTCGCGGTTTTTCTACACTAGAAACAAAACGGAATGTATATATATATGTATTCAAATTTAAAAAGTAGATGAAAGAAGAAACTGACACAATTGATTTTGCCGAATCTTTCTTGAGGATTAATGATAATTTTACATTGTGTTATGAAACTATTGTCAAATGATAGAACATTAACATTGTCTATTATATCAGATTACGTAGGCATAGAGCGCGACTTTAACTGTGTAGAGTGTTATATAATATAATTAAAGAGAGATGTAAGAGCTAATTATATTTATTGGTAACTCAATTATTGTTACCAATAAACGATACTATAATTATACTTTTTTATATTATCGATCTCTGTACAATTCTGCAGCTTGTCGTTAATATCTCCTTTCCTCCCTTCTTTTTTCTTTCTTTTTCCTCTTTTCTTTCTAAAAAAAAATATATCACAACAACGATAAATGATGTCATGCGAGTGGAGGAATACATCTTGGCCTCGCATCCATAACGGAATTAACGTCAATCTTTATTTTCCTCATCGTCTAGAACGCCTACTTGCAGCCGCACAAACGCTGCAATGCGGATGATAAGGAGTGTGACTATGCCTAAAGGCCAAGAAAATAAAATATAATATTCTTTAAGTTATAAGATTAATATTCTTTCATCGTAAATTTATCAACGAAAATCTGGCAAATTTAACAGTTTAATGTAGATGTAATGATATCACGATACAATAAAAAATATTACGATCAATTAATTAGAAAGAGAAAATTATAAAATGAAAGAGATTCCATGATCTTGTCGAATAATTCTACAAGTATTTGATATTGTGGCTAGTAATAATATATAGATATAAATCTATAGAAAAGAATATACCTATTCCGAAATATTTTGACATCTGTTACGTCGTTCAATATGCGACTGTACATTTTGTTCTACTCAGATACTTGCAAATCTGAATTAATTTTTACATCGCACATTATTTGCATCGCCTAAAATTCTGCTTATTTTTATTAATATTACAACTCATGGATAGCGCGCGATTGCAAAGGCAATAACGTTGAATAAGAATTTCAAGCCGACCAATCAGAGAAAAGGAAACGAGCGTCTACGTCATCATGTAGCGCCTCTCTATAGTTCTTACCAAAGACCATAGAGTTTACGCAATCTAGACTAACATCACTACTATGTCCCGTTTCCTTTTCTCTGATTGGTCGGAAATTTTGTTCAGTGCGCAGTCGTAGTCGCAGTCGCGCGCCATTATGGCATAAGCCATAAGTAACTATAAGCTACATCATCTATATCATCGTTTGATACATGTTCGTACTAATAAATTGTAAACAAAACTAAAAGAGAGAGAAAGAGAGAGAGAGAGAGAGAGAAAAAGTCCTAAAACATCATGATTGGCCAAGATGGTCATTTTTAGGTTTCTCTCTCATATAACAAAGTTAGATAAAAGGAGACATATAGATATTTTTTCTAAAATGTAATCTTACTCCTATGTAACTCTATTCCATAGACATAATATATCTAGACCGAGTGTTGAGGAGTGGGGCCCAAGGTCCAAGGTGCACGTAGATAAGAACATACTCTGTTCTGTGCCCCTTGCGTTCTCTCTCGCTCGCATGTAGCATAGTATTTTCTTTCGCTATGCTACGTGCGAGCGAGAGAGAACGCAAGGGGCACGAAACAGAGGGCGTTTTCCAGCAAGGTACACAGACGACATAGCGTATTACACATTATCACATGATTGGCTGTCAAATGAAGAAATTTAAAATATAACCAAGCACGTGATAATGTGTAGTACACTGTGTCGTCTGTGTACCTTGCTGGAAAACGCCCACAGTATTTCTTTACCCCCACTCCTTAAATAAAGGCAAAGCTCGGTCTAGGGTCTAGGGTGCGTTCCACTTAACGACCGCAACGCTCACGGTATCATTTTATCCTTGTTGTTCACCAAAAGTTAAACAAAGACAGATGATATTTGCGAGCGTTGCGATCGTTAAGTGGAACGCGTCTTAAGGTGATATTACATTTGTCGTACGACAAACTTTTTAAGCGCATTGATTAGCTAATTTCTAGAGACTCAAAAAAATTTGTATTTTGCAGCCAATCAATATGATTAAAAAGTTTGTCGTACGATAAATGTAATATCGGCCTTAAGCCCGAATCACACTAGCGGCTCGCGGCTGCGATTGCGATTGCCTCAGCCAATCTGTTTAGAAAAGGAGTCATGCAGAATTTAAGTCGCGCGCCAGTCGTCTGCTATCGACTTTCGATTTATTCCTTGCGTTGTGAAGAGGTATGTAATTTTTCTCTTAAAACAAAGGCTAAATCTTAAATCACCTATTGTAGACCGGCACTAATCTAACCGGACTTTGTGAAATTGGCCCTAAGCCTTAAGAATTGACTAATCACAGTCGAGTATTCTCTTCATACTTGACTGTGATTGGTCAATTTGCTTGCGACTGGCGACATGCGATCAATGTAGAACGGGCTTTAGATATACTATGTCTATGCCCTATTCTTTCTTATCAGTTGAATCTGTTTTACTCTCTGTCTCTTTCTCTAATGTATACTACCTCCCTGATACTACTCTAAGAATACTTTTCTTTTTCTAAATATCTTTTCTATACCTTTTGATCACGTCTCTGGAGCGGTAAAGAATAGGTTAGGAATAAGAATTAATCGTCGAATTGTTCACTTTTATAAGGAATAATATCGCTAGGTAAGACAATTTTGTAAAAGAAATACAGAACTTACATTTAAATGTAAGATGAGATGGTAAAATCGTTTAGAATTATTTGAAGAATATCTTTTCTTTGTGAATAATCTAATCCATCTCTATGTTTGAATATACAGATATAATCACGTGCTAAATAATTTCTTCACATTGAAAGTACCCTGTATAAAAGAACAAAAAAATCCGTTTAACAATTTTTAACCTCGGATTTAATATTTCAATCTTTGATGTTCATTGTAGATTGTTAGAATTTAAACGGCAATAAGCGCGATGATAATCTATATTTATGTATAGAGTTTTGTAAAGTTTGTTTGTAATTTTTCCTACAAAAGAGTGATCGTTTTGTATATTTTCTTATTTTTGCAGCGAATTATTTGTTTAGAGAATGTAAGCTATTTGAGATAAAAGCATTCTGAGATTTTTTTTCATAGTATAAAAAGCAAGGAGAAAAATCCTTGGTTCTAATGTTAGGAATGTGAGACTCACTCCACACATTAAAATTATCTTTAAAACAAAAGATATTGAATTGTATATGTGTGTACAGTAATTAATATTTGATATACATATGAAACTCTCTATCACGGCTAATTTCTAATATATACAAAATAATTTCTATGTCTTTGATAAATAATTTGATAAGTTTGAAAAAAAGCGATGATAATATTTGCCTTTCACAATATTGAGATAATGATGGTATATACATTATTTCTTTCACTTATATATGACATTTTTTTTTTCACGTGGTATATGCTATTGTATATATAATTATGCAAAATATATAATGAATTAAGAAAAACTATTTGTCCCTTTGACATTGTTTACATAAGTAATAGTATGCAATACATACAATAGTACACAATACATACAATAGTATGCAATACATTAACATATAATAGACTTGGAATCTGTACAGTTTTTTATGAAATATGGAATTCTTTTCTTTTGCAGGTGTCTAAGTTTTTTGATAACAGATAGTAATATGAAAAATAATATTTCTCATCGCAGAAATATTTCAGTAATAAAAATATTTGAACTTCTTTAACGTTAAATGTGAAGACTAAAAGAAGTTCAATACGATGCCGACAAACGATACGAGACGCGATGAAATTCGCAAGATTCTCCTGTCGTTGCTGCTTGCTCGACCGGGAGCCACGCCGATCACCATTCTCGATCGGGATTATTACGAAGTCGAGGGCGAGCGTATACCATGGCGTAAGTTCGGCTATGCCGATGTGGCAGAATTTCTCAAGAGTATGCCAGAACACTTTGTAATCGAATGGTGCAATGGTGGACACTACGTGCGCGGGATCGCGTCAGAAAAAACTAAACACGTAAGCTCGCTGGTGTCCCGCCAGAAGTCCACTTCAAAGTCGAAATACATTGCACCTCGTTTTCATCGGCCGTTCATCAATCGTTACATACCGCAAATGCAGCGACAGCGAGTCAGGATCCCGGCCGAGCAGTTATCATATCTCGTAACGTTTGTCCAGGACAATCCAAATGGTGTGTATCTGCGAGATGCCCTGGCGATATTACAAAAGCAATTGCCATATGTCATGCTCTCTTTGTACGACTTGCGGGAACAACTGCACGAGCTGCCGCATTCCTTATATTTGGACTGTGATATGATTTATCCCGTGAACAATGTTTCACGAGAGGCAAAGAACTATCCACAGCCTCCGACATCGGAGCCACAGCCTCCGACATCGGAGCCACAGAACATGCCACGATCGTCAGCCATGGAAACAACGTACGTCGCCGGAGATGAGGGATCTGATTTTCTGGAGGATTTGATCGACGACGACAGCTTTGTCCCGGTCAAGTATTTAAACAGCAATTATCCAAAGCAATCGAAGACGAGTGAGCGGCTCGCCGCGAGCTTTGCGCGGAATGCGAGTAATGAACAAAACGCAATGTCCAATCACAATGACGACGTTGATGTCGACGAGTATTTTGCCGCGACGAATAACAGTGACAACCCGAAAACTATGATCGCCGATTACATTGATCTTTCCTCGCTGATAAGCAATAGAACGAAGTCGCGATTGGATCAGCTAGTACAGAAACACTCAGAGGGTATCTGGTGTGCCGATCTGCCCGACAAATATTTGAAAGAATATAATATACATCTAAATTACATCGAACTAGGCTTCACTAGCGTGCGCGAGTACGTGTCTTACCTACCGGATATTTTTTATATGACACGAGCGAATTCGACCGACGACTTTTTATTGTATAGCGCGGACAAGAGGCCGACAGTTCCCGACCAAGAAGTAGCGAGATCAGAATCCATCGAAATAAGACCAAGCTTACGCGAGCAGCATGATGAACACAATGCAGTGCGAACACAACATGACAATGATGATGATAACGCACCGATTCCAGCAGATGTTGTAAGTAATAAGTAATAGTTATTTTCTGGTAATGCCTATATTTATTTGATAATATCTCTCATCTAGAATTAGCTGACAAGGTATATCTTTTGTCGAATCACACTGTATATTGTTAATTGTACTTATTGATAATGCAAAAACTATTAATGTTTTTTTATAAGTACTAATTAATCTATGAAAGAATACAAATTATATGTAGAAAATATTAATCCTTTTGATTCCCAATTTTTATCGCAAATAAAATTGAATATTGTATATAAAAAAAAAGATAATTTCATGGAGATAACATTATATTCATAATATATATAAAAACTTGTAGGGTTTCTTAATGGGACTTAAGTAATTATTTTCTCTTCATGTATGTGTAATGTTTATTTTCTTAAATATTGTTTTATTCTCTCTCTTTCTGAGATAAAATATTATACATTTAATCTTCATATAATTATATTGCAATAATTGGTTTATATGTTGCAGTCTCCTACTATAACAAAGATATTTGCACCTGATGATGTAATGAATTACAATGATAGCGTGGATCTAATACTAGTGACTGATTTACAACGTGACAGAAAATATTTAGAGATATATGTTGTAGAATTATTTAATCCAACCTTCTTTTGGATACATCTGCGAGAAAACAAGAAACGCTTTGATAGATTTATGAATGAATTACAGTAAGTGAATGAGCGATTATGTATTAACAATAGCGATAAAATCCAAACCAAAATCTGAAATTATTTTATTGCTTTCAGTACTTTTTACGAGTATAACAAGGATAAGTACACCATTCCAAAGATTGCTCTAAAAAAAGGTCTAAATTGTGCATGTATATATGCAAGTAAATGGCATAGAGCGATCATTAGATCCGTAAAACCGGATTTCAGAGTGACAGTGAGTGAAAATATAATATGAAATAAGAATATTACGAATAATGAAACTAAGTTTCTGGAAGTATGATTCTCTATCTCAATTACACTATATAATAATTCTTTATCTTTCAATAGGTGATGTTTTACGATTACGGCACTTTGAAGACATATGCGCCCGAGGATGTATATTATTTGCACAAACAGTTTTCCTTTCTACCTGCGCAAGCGATACCTTGCGGCTTGTATAACGTTAAACCATGTGTTGGTGATCGTTGGAAAAGAAGTGTGACAGTGAAATTGTACGATAAAATTAGTGAAGCTCTTTTAGCCTTAACCATAGTCTCTGTTGATCCTCCGGTGAGATTATGTTATATTTCTAAAGTTACAATATAAATATTTCAATTTTATAAATAAATAAATAAATAAATTTTGAATTTCATTAAATTATTTCTTGACTATTGTATGAAATAATTTTGACTACTTTTTGTTTTAATCTTTTGTATCAGAAAAAATATAATTAGATTAATATTAATATTTTATCGATAAGAGAGTAATATTATTAAATTCTAATATTATTAAATTATATATATGTAGTTGAATAATAATATACAGTATTGCAGTAGTTATAGATATAGTTGTAATGAATGTATTAATGTGATTTACCTAGTACCTATTTATTTTGACAGAACAATTCCATGATGGTCGTTTTATCCGATACAAGCGAAGAAGAGGACGTACATATAAACGATTGGTTAATCAAAGAGAAACTAGCGCAATGCGGTAAAATGGTGTGTATGTGCGACAGCTTTCTGTATTTTCATTATTTGACATGTAATAATATTAGTATACAATCGCCTCTATCTACGTCAGTTACCTATGTCAAGACATTCGATATAAAAAATGATATAGTAAATGTAGATAAAGCGCGACATGATAGAAATCAATCGATACCGTGCAATAAAAGAGCGCATACATTATTTGATGTAAAGAGTGAAAATAATGTGAAGAGCGAAAGCAAAACTGTCGAGGCTTTGCATAACATCCCGTCCAGTAAAAAAGCTTTCCTGCAGAAGTTGCGGGATATTAATTCACTGGATGCTGAATCATCGGCTGCTAAATCGCAATCAATAGATTATTCGAAAAACGAAAAACCAAGCGGTCCCAGGAAATTGTTGGAAAAATTGAGAGCATTGAATGTTACATCCAATTCTAATTTGAGCATTTCGGCACTAAAGCCAAACCATGATTTTAAAGATAATGTGCAACAAATCAATTCAGATATGAAGGCTGATTCACAAGATGATAATGGAAACTTCAAGCATTGTGCATTGAATATGGATTTTGGTTTAAGAGATTCCGACAACGAAGAAAATATTGAAAAAGATTTTGGAACATTTAGAAGTTTATATGGCGGACATGGTTCGATGGAGCCTTTTGATTGGTCATTAATAAAAAAGAACGATCATTTTCTTCACCAAGCAACTGTTACATCACATAATAATTTAGACATTCTAATTAAGGAGTATAAAAATAATGTAACAGAAGATGAATCAGAATTGCATAAATTAAATAATTTAAAAAAAGAATCACTACCTGCTAACCCCTATTTTCTAAATATAACTCGTAAGGAGGAGGAATATTACTTACCTGAGCAGAATATCAATTACGATTTTAAGAATGTGTCTCAATCCGTGGCAAAGTTGAGAAACAGAATGGAAGTGTATAACGATAAGTATACAACAGTAGTTGTGACAAGGGACATACTTGAAATGTGTAATAACATTCAATCCCAAAATATATTAAATCCTGATACGAATACTGTTCAAACCAATGGTGTAGCTTCTTCAATAAAAGAGACTACCCAATCCAAGATCATAAACGAAAATGGCGAAGCATATGAAACAAAAACTGAACAGAAAATAGAGAAAAACAGAGATTTTGATGCAGATATGAAATCAATCTCCTCTAATATGATTAATAATAAAGATTTAAGAATAAATAAGAAAACGTTTGAGTGCAGTACAGATAGTTCTTCTGAATCCAATACAATTAATAAAGTATGCAATCCCAGATACAAGAAGTTGCTAGATCAAATAAGGCATATGAAGATGAATTCAGTGAAGTCCAACACTTCGATGGACTTCCTTAATACAAGGAATTCTCCAAGCAGCGAGCAAATTCAATCATCTTCCTGTAGTCACAGCAGTAGCACTACTGGTAGCATGATCTCGTCAGATGATGAACAACGTGAGGACTTCAAGAACCAAAATAGCATGCGTTTTACCAAGCTACGCAACTTTTCGAAACTTTCGTCCACATCCTCGAGTGATTTTTCGTTAGATTGCAACTCCAAAGAAACTAGAGGTCTTTTGTCTTCGGAAAATGATTCTCTTGCTTCTTTAAATGTGGATGATTTCAAGCAGGATCAATTGGTGAAAATTGATGCGATTGCTTCTAACGTTGACGATTCAAAACAGCCGAATGTGACAGTTAAAGCATCACGCACTTCGAAGATGTTGGAACTGGTGTTGAAAAACGTAGAAAATGCGACGAGCGTTATCGAATTGGATTCCGATGATCTGAGTAACCAAGAAAGTGTGGCGAGTGATAAAAGCTACAACAAGGAAGGAAGCGAATTGGTCGACGAGTTGGTGGTGGATCGTGTGAAATGCAAATCGAGTAACGATATAAGCCTGTCTGAGAAAACACTTTCTCCGCCAGTGTTAAATGATTGCGATATGGAATCCGATGAGAGCGATTGGGACGGTTATGTAGAGCCTCTTTTACAGTTTAGATATACAGAGCCGATCGAAATTTCAGATGATGAATCTGAAAGAATTTAATAAAATTGTATTTCGAGGAAACATTTTATATCATGCGATGACCATATATAATTCTTCTTTTCTTTTTTTTTAGATTAAGATAAAGACAGTGTGATTTGTCATTGTATTGATCAGAATATTTCACAACTATTTAATAATTGTTTAAGTGATGTATAAATATAGAGGAATATTATATTTGATAAAAAAATACACAATTTTTATAATCGGATTATTAATATATATTTTTTTTTATAAAGACAGTGTGATTTGTCATTGTATTGATCAGAATATTTCACAACTATTTAATAATTGTTTAAGTGATGTATAAATATATAAATATAGAATATTTGATAAAAAAATACACAATTTTTATAATCGGATTATTAA